GGGATCAAAAAGTGCTACCCTTTCTACAAAATTTCCCTTCCTGCTCTATCAGGCGTCGAAATCGTCGCTTGCCAAATAAATGTGAAGAACAAAGACCTTTGCATAGCTTCAGTTTATGTTCCACCAAGAACCTCCATTAGCCGTAGTCAACTCTGGAATCTAGTTTCGATTCTTCCATCCCCAGTATTAATTCTGGGTGATATGAACTCCCATGGTACTGGGTGGGGCGATCTATATGACGACAATAGAGCGGCTATTTTTTACGATTTATGTGACGATTTCAATTTGACTATTTTGAACACTGGTGAAGCGACACGTATAGCAAAACCTCCGGCTCGAGAAAGCCGACTCGACCTATCTTTGTGTTCAAGATCGCTATCATTGGATTGTCAGTGGAAGGTTATCAATGATCCCCATGGTAGCGATCATTTGCCAATCATCATTTCAATAAAGTGTGGCCCTCACTCTGCAGAACCATCTCGGGTTCCATTTGATCTTACAAGGAACATCGACTGGCAGAAATATGCAACGGCGGTGACAATCGGTGTCGAATCAATAGATGCGCTTCCACCATTGGAAGAATATCGATTCCTAGCCGATTTGATTTACAAAAGCTCACTGGAAGCACAAAAAAGAAAAGTTCCAAGTGCACCCTTTAAAAGGAGACCAGCCACACCTGGTTGGGACGAAGAATGCACAAAATTGTATGTAGAAAAATCTGATGCTTTCAAAGCTTTTCGTAGACACAAAACCTCCACTTACTTCGAGGAATATTCAAAGCTTGAGACAAAGCTGAAACAATTAATCAAAGCAAAAAAACGCGGTTATTGGCGCAATTTCGTCGAGGGACTCTCACGAGAAACCTCAATGAACACCTTGTGGAGGGTGGCTCGCAACATGCGTAACCGCTCATCTTTCAATGAGAGTGAAGAATACTCCAGCCGATGGATATTCGATTTCGCTAAAAAGGTCTGTCCGGACTCAGTTCCAGCAAAAAATATTCTTCGAGAAGCGTCTCCTAGCGGCGGCTCTCTGGACAGACCATTCTCAATGCTGGATTTCTCTATGGCTCTTCTTTCATCGAACAACTCCTCACCGGGAAGCGATATGATTAAATTCAATCTTCTGAAAAATCTCCCAGATATCGCTAAAAGACGCTTGCTAGATTTATTCAATTCCTTGCTAGAAAACAACATTGTACCGCCTGAATGGAGACAGGTCAAAGTAATAGCCATTAAAAAACCTGGCAAATCAGCGTCTGACCATAACTCATACCGTCCGATTGCTATGCTTTCGTGCATTAGGAAATTGTTGGAGAAAATGATCCTTCGGAGACTCGATCACTGGGTCGAATCAAATAACTTGCTATCAAATACACAGTTTGGGTTCCGCAAGAGCAAAGGAACAAACGATTGTCTAGCGCTGCTTTCCACAGATATTCAACTGGCCTTTGCGCACAAGGAGCAATTGGCTTCAGTATTCTTGGACATTAAGGGGGCTTTTGATTCAGTTTCCATTGAAATTCTGTCAGACAATCTGCACAGATGTGGACTTTCTGGAATTTTAAATAATTTCTTGTACAATTTATTGTCAGAAAAGCAAATGAACTTTTCTCTTGGAAAACTGACAACTTCCAGAATTAGTTACATGGGCCTGCCCCAAGGCTCATGTCTCAGCCCTCTTCTTTATAACTTTTATGTCAAAGATATCGACAACTGTTTGGCAGAACAATGCACGCTAAGACAACTTGCAGATGACGGTGTGGTTTCCGTAAGAGGTCCACATGCCGTGGACTTGCAAGGACCATTGCAAAATTCCTTAGATAACTTGTCTTCTTGGGCTAGGAATCTAGGGATCGAATTCTCGCCGCAGAAAACTGAACTGGTAGTGTTTACTCGAAAGCGGTACCCAGCCCAAATTCAGCTTAATCTTTTGGGCAGAAACATTACCCAATCATTGTCTTTCAAGTACCTTGGGGTCTGGTTTGATTCAAAGTGCACTTGGAATGCCCATATTACGTATTTGAAGCAAAAATGTCAGCAGAGGATCAACTTTCTCCGTTCAATTTGCGGCACATGGTGGGGTGCTCAACCGGGAGACCTCATAACGCTTTATAAAACAACAATTCTCTCTGTTCTAGAGTACGGCTCTTTCTGCTTTCTCTCGGCAAGAAAAAGTCACCTAATAAAATTGGAACGAATTCAATATCGTTGTCTGCGTATTGCTCTAGGCTGTATGCACTCAACGCATAACATGAGTCTCGAGGTTCTGGCAGGAGTAACACCCCTCCAGAACCGTTTCTGGGAGCTCTCTCTCAGAATACTAATCAAATGCGGAGTGACGAACACACATATAATTGCTAATTTTGAAGAAATTCTTGGGCTGAACACACAATCTCGATTTATGAGAATCTACCACCACTACATATCATCAGATATGTGTCTTCCTTGTTATACTCCAGACCGTGTTCACTTCACCAATCGCAGTTCCTCAATTGAATATGATCTGACCATGAAACAAGCAACTCATGGGATTCCCGATCAACTTCGACCTATTATTATTCCGCGTATTTTTACTGAAAAGTACCAACAAGTCAATTGCATGAAAAGATATTTTACAGACGGGTCCCGTCTCAATGGATCCACTGGCTTCGGTGTCTTCAATGAAAACTCTAGCGCCTTCCGCAAACTTCAGGAACCTTGTTCCGTTTTTGTTGCTGAGCTGGCAGCAATCAACTTCGCATTGGGGATGATTTCCAACATGCCCGCAGACCATTACTTCATCTTCACGGATAGTCTCAGTTCGATTGAGGCTATTCGGTCGATGAAACAAGGTAGGCACTCATCTTATTTCCTATCAAAGGTAAGGGAGCAGATGTGTGTGCTGGTCGAAAGATCATATATGATTACCTTTGTATGGGTCCCCTCACATTGCTCAATCCCAGGCAATGAGAAGGCGGACTCTCTCGCAAAGGTGGGCGCGCAGGAAGGCGAATTGTATGACAGGCAAATTTCACACGATGAATTTTACCATTTAGTGCGTCAGAGTACCTTTTCGAGTTGGCAAACCGATTGGGACACTGGAAATCTTGGACGGTGGTTACATTCAATTATTCCTAATGTTTCTTCGAGAGCGTGGTTTAAAGGCTTGGGCTTAAGTCGTGACTTCATTCGCGTGATGAGTAGACTTATGTCCAACCACTACTCGCTAGATGCTCATCTCAATAGAATAAACCTCGTGGACAACAACATCTGTCGGTGTGGAAACGGTTACGATGACATCGAACACGCAGTTTGGCAATGTACGGATAATGACGCCGCCAGAGAGCGACTTTTGAATACCCTCGAGGCCCAAGGAAGACAACCCTATGTTCCTATCAGAGACGTGTTGGCAACCCGCGATCTCTGCTATATGCAGTCCGTTTATGTTTTTCTTCAAATGTCTAGTATAAGAATTTAATTCCTTTTGTCTTTTGTCTCTCTTTATTAGTTTTTGTTTGTCTTGTCCCCCCGTCTCGATGAGTCTCATCGTCGCCCACTGGTCACCATAGCCGGTCGAACTCCGGACGAAGCCAGAACAGCACTACCGTTCATACTGGCGACAACGCTCTGATGAGACAACAGAGCGTTGTCCCCAAGCTCCTCCCCTGATCCTATCCTTCGAAAATGTACCCTTCTAAGCTCGAGTAAGCCGAGAGTAATCGGCCCAACTCCTACTAGACATAGAATTAAGTGAATTTTGTTACACACAGTGAACAATGAATTATCGGCTCCGTAAAGCTAACGCGATTGAGCCTTCCAAATAAACGAACTAGATAAAAAAAAAAAAAAACTCGATCTACAATAAAATATAAAGTTCACGGGGTGTAATGATAAAAAAAATCTTTTTTAATAAAATAACAAAAATGTTCAAAGAGGGTCTTTTTTTCTGAGTGTGTATCGAAATTCCCGAATTTGTTACTACTGATTGAATATTCAAGGATTATCTGTACAAATTCGGGCTTGATCGACTGGGTTTGTCGGCAGCTTGAGCAATTTTAGTAAATATCTTCTTTTTTGAAAACCTTTTATCAAACTGCTATATTTTTAAGAACAAAATGAGACAATTTTGTTTACATAAAAATGGCTGTTTGTTGACAATAATATTGCTGTAAAATTCTCATTGCACATTTCTTGTGGCTCAAAAAAAAATAAGGAGTATCGTCAAATGTTATTTCCACCAGTTAAAACAGAGGATGAAAAGATATTACGAGTGAACAGAAAAATATTTATTGTTGATGGCAATATAGTTGCTACTACCTTATAAAGGGTTAAGACAGAAAGTCTTTAATATTCCTACTTCGAATCACATACACCGGTACGCTCCACAATCGATCAGCACTGTCGCCACCAATGGGCTGCTAAGCCAGCATTTTTCGGTTGGCTGCTATTTTTCACTCAAACACTTACAATCTACACAAATAGGTTGGGCCCGAGTTTTCAAGACCTTCGCAAGCATTGACAATACTTCCAAAGCTGTCTTTGTTTCCCTGACGTGGACGTAGTTACCTGGTTCAAGAAGTAGAAGTAAAAGTATCTTCGCTCTTGCCTCCGCTTCGGCTTTACAGAGCATCGACTACAGGAAAGCTTGAACAACTTCCAATTTTCTTGTCCAAAGATGCATTCGATTCCGAGAAGGCTTGAATCGACAATGCAACTTACCAGCTGCGCTTGAGGATTCGGCTGAATTTGAAGTCATCTTTTCGCCTGATTAAATTCTCCATCTTCCTAATATAACGTTCACGTATAGTAACATAACGGTTGCCGATTGAAAAAAACGTTATTGCCAAGAATTTAATATCTTTGAACTCCTAATACGTCTATTTCGAATTTTTTATCCCGTTTGCAATTATATTTAGTTTGTTGTATGATATTTTCTAGTACGTCTTATTGTGTTTTGGACCCAATTGTCAAATTAACGAATATACTTAATCTTATTTACCAAACTGCCTTTTAACTTACCTAATTTTTTTTCCTGCTGCAATATATGTCTGGTGGCCGTATTTTTCAATCCAGCAAAACTAAATTGACAATCTCGATAATGCGACAATGGTAGTGGGAAGTCGTACTTTTTAGTATCATTACTGAACTTGGCAGCTTGTTCAATTGCCCGTCCTCCGGAAAGCCAAGCGTAATCAGGTAAATTTCTTAGTTTCAATCTTCGAGCAATTTTGTCAAACGCTTCACCTGGAGCATCATCCAAGGTTTCACCGAGTAAATAAAACTGACGTGTGCTTTTCACCAAAGTTAACAGAGAATGACCTCCACTTATCAGAATACATATAAACGGAAATGTGACTTTGTTCGTCATTCTGGCCATTAGAGCATGTGCTTCCATATGATGGATTGGTATCATTGGTTTCTGGTACTTTCTAGCCAAATATTTAGCATAACGCAATCCTACTAGTAAGCTCAGAGGTAACCCTATAAAAAATAAGTTTCCCTTATAATTACGTCATTGTTGTAAAAACTGAATTCAATATACCTGGTCTGTTTGTAACTGCAATAGCATCTATTTGTGAGCAGTCCATATTAGCATCTTGAAATGTTTGTTGTACAACATTATCTATATGCATCCGATGGAAATCTTGGGCAACAGGTGGTATAATGCCACCGAATCTAAGTAAAATAAAAAATGAATATCCAAAGTAATACAATGACATAATTGTTCGATTTAAAAAAATAAATTAAAAAGCATGTAGATAGAAGCAGACATATAAAATACAAGCGGCAGTCCCCTACTCGACCTTGCAATGTTCCGAATAAGGCCAGAATCATATCAGAAATGCCTAGCTCGAAACGTAAAAAAGACTGAACGTCAATTTCTGATGAATGTAAACTAAATAAACCGTCTAATAGCGCAGACCTACACAGTTACAGAAATAAGTTATCACTTTAATTAAATTCATTGCAATCTGGGGTACAAAATGCGAGACGGTGGAACAAAATGGCCGCACAGGTCGACAGTGCAATAAAAATCTACAATTGTTCTACTTAACAGTCGTCTTACATCAAACCAATATCGAGATAGAGCTGATTCATTGCGTCCAGATTCTAACTGGATCATGTTTTAAGTAACTGGAAAGCCTATATATAACCTGGGATATATAACCATATGCTTACTTTAGGTGGCTATTCTGTTGTGAGTATATGCACTCGCCTAGAACATGGCCATTGCTGCTCACTATTGCAGCGCCACTATCGTCGCAACTCGTTTCTATACCCAGAATATAAGGTCGAACTGGTGCACTAGTGCATCTTCGTCTGAAAAAAAAAACATAAGGAAAAAGTTTAATGTTAACAGAATACATAATAAGCTACACTGAGGGAAGTGAGACTTGTGGGATAATTTCCCGAGCAAAGTCGGTTAACAAAAGCAAATCGATATTAAAGTTTGCAGTTCATATCATAATGAAAACTCATTTTGGTTTCAACTGTCGCGACATAAGTCTAATTAAATATTATAGTGTTTTCATTATGCTGTCAAGATTTTTTAAATGAAAGCAACTTTACTTGAAGTTCTGCTCCTTGACGTCTTATTTAAAATTAAATTTAAGTTCATCTGTTTTTGAACTAACGATTATTGTTTATTTGTTTTGCTTAATATATTTTAGGTCATTCGTTACTTGCCCTGGGTGAGATTTGAGCCAAGTCTTTAAGCGTGAGAAGCATGGACCGTATTCAGTTAAACATTTTGAAAGCAAAATCAGTAATCAAAGCAGTTTTTTTTTTTTTTTTTTATTATAGTTACTTTAACACTCTTGGGTTATTCGTGACTTGTCCGGGGGTGAGATTTAAACTCGTGACTTTGGCGTGAGAGGTATGGATGTTAACCACTACGCCGGGGTCGCCCCCGATGCAGTGTTATTTTTTCAATAACTTTAAACACTACTTGTTAATAAATCAACTCTTTATTTTAAGTATTTATACAGTTCTTGTCACTTCAAAAAACAAACTTTTCTTCTAGTGCCAAGCGCAGTGACAGCTAACGGAGTATAACCAACAATCAATACGAAACTAACGATTTTAAATTGGCTCACTACTTGACTAGGTAACTCTAAGACTAGAAGGTCCCGAAGAAACGAGCTCAACTTTTTGGCTCAGCTCTGGTACTCTCTTCGGTCCCAAGCTAATCGATTCACCCCTCGAAACATAGGAAAATCCACTAACCCCTAATTTTATCTGTCATACTTTCATAGCGAATCAAAACAAACATTGTGTAGTAGTAGAATTTCGACTAGAATGGGGTACATTAATCGTTTGCTTGGGACCAATAGGCTAGTCAAGTAGTGAGCCAATTTCAAATCGTTAGTTTCGTATTGATTGTTGGTTGTACTACCGTTGTACCAACAATCAATACGAAACTAACGATTTTGGCTCGAAAACTTTGGTGACGCACCTGCTATTGCAATTTTTCAGTGTACCACATGGCAACACCACTACTACTGGATTGTACCACATGGCAACACTACTAATGGATTGTACCACATGGCAACACTAAATATGTACTAGAATGTTTTGGTTCTATTTCTTTCACTCTACTCTAAACTGAAATGCATAAAAAAATGACAAAATGATACACTCTTTGCACACTGTCTAAGATCATATTGCACACAAAATCAACTATGTTCAAATCAAAACAAAAATACTAGCCCATCTGGTGGCTGATGGCACAAGCTTCTAAGAAAATTCTATTACAGCGAACCACATTATTTTAATTGATTTCTTCGCCAGTTAGTCGTCTGTCACTTCGTTTGTGGTTTAATCATGGTTGATTAGATTGTAGATTATCTTTTTTTTAATATTTTTTAATCATTTTTGATTCTATTTTAAAAATTTTTGATTGAATTTTATTCTTTTTTTTTATTATATATCAGTATTGAAAAAGAATAAAATTTAATACTGGAAGGATTATTTCGATTTTAATCATGCATAACTACTGCCGAAGTAATCATGGCTCGGACTCAATAAAGTGAAGCGGGAAACTGCATACTTTTTAACACAAACGAAGTGACAGACGGAGCGGCTCGAAAATTTTGGTGACGCACCTGCTATTGCAATTTTTCAGTGTACCACATGGCAACACCACTACTACTGGATTGTACCACATGGCAACACTACTACTAGATTGAACTAGCATTTTCACCAAATGTACTAGAATGTTTTGGTTCTATCTCTTTCACTCTACTCAAAACTGAAATGCATAAAAAAATGACAAAATGATACGCACTCTTTGCACACTGTCAAAGAATCTTTGTACACAAAATCAACTTTGTTCAAATCAAAACAAAAAAACTAACCCATCTGGTGGATGATGGCATAAGCTTCCAAGAAAATTCTATTACAGTGAACCACATTATTTAAATGGATTTCTTCGCCAGTTAGTCGTCTGTCACTTCGTTTGTGCTTTTTAAGCTTTTTTGATTTAATTTATCTTTGAGTGTTCCTCATTTAATTGGTAAACTATGGTTTACTCTAAAGAGTCTAAATTTATAAAGAGGCGACATGTCAAAATTGGAACAATCGGTTGTCCGTTAAAGTCATTAGAAAAGTCATTCCAATCGAGCAGAAGACCTGTCAAATGGATAAGATGACGTCTCTTTTTAAATTCAGGCTCTTTAGTTTACTCATTAATGGGTAAATGGGAGGTCTGTCAATAAATGTGTGTTTTTACCCATTTTCTTAAATTGCGTTTACCGTAAAATTGGTAAAAGATACCTTTAACGGACAACCGATTGTTCCAATTTTGACATGTCGCCTCTTTATAAATTTAGACTCTTTAGAGTAAACCATAGTTTACCAATTAAATGAGGAACACGCAAAGATAAATAATCGATTAGTAGTTAATCGAGTAATTAAAAGATGGGACATCTCTGATTTTGGTGTGATTGTTTTGATAAAAATGAGCGCAAAATTTCATCTCTACCGAGGGGGCAGCAAAATCACAAAATTACTTTGAATACGGGGGGTATTCATTGGATGAAAGAGACCGTGAAAGAGGACACTAAAATAGAAAGTTTTTCTTCCGACAGTTTCATCTTAGTATTCATCTTTGGATTAATATCAGATGCTTATTTTTTAGAAAGAGAGGATTAATTTTTAATCATTCGATATGATTAAACTGAGTTTAATGTCAAATTGATTAAATTTCAAGCAAAATGGAAATAGTTCAATTTATCAGTGAAGGGCACTTTTAGCGGAAATGGGTATTTTTGTACCCATTAATGGGTTTTCGCGAAAAACCGTGTACGCAAACGTTACACGCTAACTTCTGCTTACTCACCAGGTGAGTCTATCGTACTCACTTTCGTCCGATGTATCGAGTTGTCAAAAATTGAGTAAACGAGAAATGTCAAACTGAGTAAAAGCCACTCAGTCAGCAAAATCCTGGACTTGGAAAAAATGCCAGTCATTTCGGAGGTAACCTCATAGAAAATGTTACTTAAAACCGGCTGAAATGCCTTCAGGTAAGTACGAATTGTTTAGGGAAACGGTGTTGAACCATTTTCTGCTCCGGCAGAATGAATCCGGAGCAGGCAATTTCCATTTCCTTGAATAAAAATCAAAACAAAAACCCTCCCCGCAACTGAAAATACCGGCGGGTGGATTTGACTCAGTCTACGTGAGAACGTCGTTTACTCAAAAGTGAGTCAACATAAGACTACTCAATTTTGAGTAGCCCTACCTGCCGCTGAGATGAGTACATTCGACTCAATTTTGAGTTGACCAGAATAAGCGTTTATACACCATGGATTTTGCTGGCTTTTACTCAGTTTGACATTTCTCGTTTACTCAATTTTTGACAACTCGATACATCGGACGGAAGTGAGTACGATCGACTCACCTGGTGAGTAAGCAGAAGTTAGCGTGTAGACTGTGCGTGAAACAAGACGGCCTATATACTATATCTCTTCATTCCACAGAAAATTTTCCTAAAATACTGTCAATTTTTGCTAGAAAAGACTTTTCAACGGTGCCATCAACACCAATAGGATGAATCAATGGATTCGGCGATTACGTGCAGACATATAACTATCGCGAAAAGATAAAAATTACCTGATTAGTGAAACAGTGGAAATTATTTGCTTTTCTTTCAATACTTTTAACATAATTTTAGTATTAAATAACATGGAACTATTTTGGAATTCACAATAACCAACAACCTATTAACAGTTCTTCACTCAAGTTGCTAGTAGTTTCAATCTTGGTCTTGACGTGATGGCGTTTTTTGTTTACATCTTTTCTACACTCTAATTCTTGATCACTCATTTTAAGCGTGAAAACAACTCTATATGAACATTTTTTTCTTTTTCCTCCCTTTTTATGGCACAGACCTGTTGGTTCATATTAGTACGTCCTTTTTTGTCATCGACTTCTGGGTTCTGCGGAGTCGACCAATTTTATTTTGCAAGCCTGCTTGAAAATTTTCTTAAGTTTAAAATTGATTTGCTCTTTCTCAGTTGATTCCCGCCAAAAGCTCTGAGCCAGGAGTGCTCGAGCCCCCATGACTCTATCAAAGTTTGTTTACATACATGTTTCGCCAAAGTATCCCGCATAAGCGCGAACCATAAATTGACCTTACCGATAATGGTTATAAATTGTGTATAATCCCTGCTAAACTTCAACTGAAATGGTTATGGAACTTTACATGAACGTTTAATGATAAAGTTTTAACCTTAAGTATTATAGTTTTTTGGAAGTGGACCTTACAAATAATGGGTTGTTAAGAACCATTACCATTCAAAATTCTTGTTTTCTCCATACATTTTCGGAAAGAAAACTATACTAAAACCTTTTAACTTATGGTTTGAGAACATTAATGGTAATGGTTATGGTAACCAGTAAGGTCCATGAATGGTTTTGTAACATCGATCAACTTTATGTGGAATATATCGCGAATTGGTTGCCTGTAAATTACTGATTACCAATTCACGATATATTTCACGTAAAGTTGAGTGATAATACAAAACCATTATTGGACCTTACTGACTACCATAACCATAACCATTAATGTTCTCAAACCATAAGTAAAAACGTTCTAATATAGTTCTCTTTCCAAAAATGTATGGAGAAAACAAGAATTTGGAATGGTAATGGTTCTTAACAACCCATGATTTGTAAGGTCCGCTTCCAAAAAACCATAACACATAAGGTTAAAACTTTATCACACAAACGTTCATGTAAAGTTCAATAACCATTTCAGTTGAAGTTTAGCAGGGATTATAAACAATGTATAACCATTATCGGTAAGGTCATGTGATGGTTCGCGTTTATGCGGGATGTTTTACTGTAATTGAAAACTCAGCTGCCTCATAAAAACTATGCTGGTTTTTATACTTTCATCACTAAGCCTGTTGGATTTTATCTTTGAGCTTAAAATTAAGAATGTGTTATGAAAAAGTATAGAACATTTTTATGAGATTACAATGCTTGACGGTAGATAAGAACAGTAACTGCATTTGCTGCTTCTGAATGTTTGGCTCCCGCTTGACAGTTCACACTGGCTCCCAAGTGACAAGCACCTTGAGTGAGAAGGGGGGCGACCCCGGCGTAGTGGTTAGCATCCATACCTCTCACGCTAAAGTCACGAGTTCAAATCTCACCCCCGGACAAGTCACGAATGACCCAAGAGCGTTAAAGTGACTATAATATAAAAAAAAAAAAAAAAACCTTGAGTGAGTCCGCAGCACTCAGATCGACTTTCTCTTCCTGCAAAAATATTTCCTGGATGTGTTTGACGTTTCGGATGCTATACACGCTATTTCAAAACTTCCCAAATTTGGGTAGAATCCACCCAGATCTGTCAAAATTGAACCTACCCAAAAATGGGTAAACTATGTTGTGAGTGACTAGTTGACAAATTAACAACGTCGATCGGATTCATGTCGACCAGACTTAATTCTAGATAAACATTTCAAAAGGTCCTATCTGACATTTGTAAAAAAATCGAGTTTAATCATTAACAACCATTCTTAGTTAAAATCATAATTCCAAACTATAGTTAAGATTGTGTATACACTATTGTTTCATTTCGGCTAGCAGTTAAATTCCATCAAACTTTTGTTCCGTTACATCACAACTGGCGATTCTATATAACATTCCCCAGAATGAGTATGCCATATGTATTAGATTGACTATTTTAGTTTATTATAGTCACTCCTGGAATCTTCTTTCGCGTATATAATAAGAAGAGAAAAGCTTCTTAATGGAACAAGGGGTTTTCCCTTTGAAAATATAAGAAAAGGAAATAATTAATTCTTTAGATATACGATAAAAAAGGGAATATTCCCTTCTTTGAATATATAACAGAGAACATAATTAATTCGTTAAATATATGATAAAGAAGGAAATATTCCCTTCTTTGAAAATATAACAAAAGGAAATATTAATTCTTTAAATATACGATAAAGAAGGGAATATTCACTTCTTTTTATATATAAGGAAAATCTATAATCAATAGTTTTTCGCAAGGGATTCGGGGTAATGCCCATTCGGGATATTAACGTGTGGAATAATGTTATAAATTTGTAATCGGTAGTTCAATGTTCCATGCACAGATTTTTTAATCCATCACGAGAAATTCTTTAACTCAGGTCGAACAATTCTTCGATAAGGTTTAACAGTTTCCGACTGGTTGAATTGGATTGCATAATAGACCCTTTGACTTTTTAAATGATGAACGAAGTGCTCGAAAACTTGAAGGTTGTCATTTTCTAAAGAGCTATAAAATGGTTTGGAATTGATAAATACATAGTTCCATAAAAGTAAACGTACCTAGTGTATCATCAATAGTAAAGTGAAACTAGTCAGAGAGTTTTATCATGAAAAATATATTAAATCAAATGTATAAAATTTATCGAGAAAATTGGTATTCAGAAGATATATTATTCATTGTGCAAGATACTTGCGGACCTGTTTATTTATGGACGCCTGTTCTGTAATATAAAACTGAACTATAATATCAAATGACAAAAAAAGGTGATAAATTACTAATTTCATCATCTTTTCTGGGGAATGGTACATTCTGGGAAGTGCTTTTCTGGGGAAGTGCTTTTCTGGGGAATGTTATAGAATCCAACTGGCATCACTAGTATACATCTATCAATATGTAAAGATACAGACAAGCCCTGGGACCTGGTTGCAGTTAAGCAAGGTTATGCCAATGCCCAGGGTGTTAGCTGTAGACCAAAACTAAGATGGCATCCAAATTCTCCCTAATCAAAACCTTCGACAAAAAAATCTTACAGATTTATTATCCTTTATTGAATAAGCAATACCACTTAGATATCATATGGGAAAATATATTTAAAAGTAGCCAAATCTGGTATTAACATGATCGCATGATTACATTTGTTGTGGGTTGGTGCTGTTATATTTTAACTTGCTCACTCGCTCGGGTGCGAGTTCGTGAACTCAGCGAGCGTGGTTTGTACAAATCATTACTGGAATAACGCTGAGCTTTGATTATGCCATTGTTATTGTTGCCTGGGGACCCCTTCTCCTCGCCAATCGGTTTAACATCCGAAATATCGACAGTGAGGATCGCTAAAAGAAAATGAGAGAAGGGATTAGCATAGAAGTTTGTAAATATAACACAGAAACCCCATACCCGTACTGTTGTTATGCAAGATAGGCCCTTTCGGTTTGGGCAGTCCCAATCTTTTTGTTTTTGATGTACGTATAGACGTCTTAGCATTTTCCTTTGCAAGCTCAACGACACCGGTGGCTGGCTGAGTTGCGGAGTGACCATCTGTAATTACACAAAAATATAAGGCACTAATGAGAATATTGTCCAGTTTGTTTCTAAGCGAAAAAAAAAAACGACGATAGAGCAAAGAGTTCGCGAATCACGATGAGATGGAATCAATGCATTATGCATTGCAGCATAACCCCGAGCAATTAGCTTCCCATTATGCTGATGCAAAGGCAATGAAGAGAAATCTCTCGTGCGGAGCTGGACCTCGTTACGCACACAGTGGTACAGGTACATGAACGTGGAGAATGAGATAACATCCATTTCATTTACTTAACCAGAACAAATGTTTCTTGTGTAAAATATAGTGGCAGCAAAATAAAGCTCTGTACACTTAGAGTTGTGACAGGAGATGGATCGTAGGAGAACAACGACAAGGAATCAAAAGAGAAGATACAAGTACATGAGGAAGGAATGGTATAAACGGATGTGATGACCCCGGAGTCTGAGTATTACATATAGTATGATTGTGCTTGCCACACAATTATACTAATACAGAAAATTTCATTTAATGGTACAGGCATCAAAAGCTCTCCGTAACGTTGATCGATTCTCTTTAGCTTCATCGACTTTCTCTTTAGCTAATAACTTGCTTATCGAAGCGAGTGTGTTTGAAGTATTAGATGCTAGATCATAGTTTCTTTCAACGAACTGTGTGTTGAAAAAGCTGGAAATGTCTTTCAATGGCCGTGGGGATGCAAAGAGAAAATCGACGAAGAGAATCCGTCAATGTAACTTACGACCAAATCAATTGTTCGGTTTGAATTCTTTTGAAATTGTACTCTCAACATTAGATTCCCTTGGTATTTTGCACGAATACGGAAATCCTCTTGACAACCGTCATTGATATTTCCGCAGAGCTACTTAAAAAATATTTGAAACCACACAATTGTTTGTTGTTTAGACTTTATCATTTTAATAAACACAATTGATTTGGAGGATTCTATAACATCCCCCAGAAAACCATTCCCCAGAAAACCATTCCCCAGAAAACCATTCCCCAGAAAAGCATTCCCCAAAATGTGCCATTCCCCAGAAAAAATGATGAAATTAGTAATTTATCACTTTTTTTTTGGTCATTTGATATTATACTTCAGTTTTATATTACAGAACAGGCGTCCATAAATAAACAGGTCCGCAAGTATCTTGCACACTGAATAATACATCTTCTGAATACCAATTTTCTCGATAAATTTTACACATTTGATTTAATATATTTTTCATGAGAGTCGAGTTTCGAACGCCTTTGGATACGGTTGTGTTTTAAGTTTGTTCTCTGTTTTGTGCGTGCATTCGCTTTAATAGTTTTCGGCTGCATTTGCCGGATTAGCGCTGGCACTCTGCCTCCCGGACGGTTATACGTGTGTTAGTGGTGGTTTTCTCGCTTTCCGAGAAGTTTTAGAATCGAGAAAGAAAACATGATTCATAATGTTTGCAAAATTGCAAGCATCAGAAGATTTGGCGCTATCTGCGTGGATTGATTTTTTCTCCCGGACCAGAAATTTGTGGCATCGCGAGTGAAAATTTAAATTTCAGTTTATTTACGCGGTGATGAGAACGGCGCTGTTCTATTGTTAGGGTTTTGAAATGTGCATTGCTTTTGTGCACGGAATGACTTGAAAAAGAAAAGTGATATTTGGTTGTTGTGTGGTTGGAGTCGCTGGAGGAGGAATTGTTTAGGGATGACTAGAGAAAAATATACGTGGAAGCATCGGGAATGCGCTCCCGGGTGAAGTGATTTGGTGAGTACGTTCCAGTTGAAGATTGTTGACAAGTGTATTTGTGGTGATGCAAATTATGGTTTAGATGACGCATGGCTTCAAACATTTTGTGTATCCAAATAAAACATATTACATACTAAATACGCACAGGGCATCGTCTGCTGACCATTGCCGCGGGTATATCGTGGGAGTCCCAGGTACCCGGTTCAAGCTTTAGTTGGCGGCGGTGGCTCTTCTTGACCTTCTACCCCCTGAGTAGTTAGTGTGAATAAGGGCGTATATGTGATGTTTTGCTGTACCTGTTGTGGACATCTAGTGCATCCTGTTCCCTTAACTTGTTGAGGACACCCTGTCTTGCCTCAAAAGTTACCCTTTTTGAAGTACTAGTCTTAACAACATAAAGGACACCATTACGGAGCATGAGATTTGATCAAATTATTCGCAGTTCTACTTGTCCAACGCCCCCGGCTGGGTGAGGGATAGAGGATGACACACACACACACATTTGATTTAATATATTTTTCATGATAAAACTCTCTGATTAGTTTCACTTTACTATTGATGATACACTTTTATATACTTATATACTTTTATGGAACTATGTATTTATCAATTCCAAACCATTTTATAGCTCTTTAGAAAATGACAACCTTCAAGTTTTCGAGCACTTCGTTCATCATTTAAAAAGTCAAAGGGTCTATTATCCAATCCAATTCAACCAGTCGGAAACTGTTAAACCTTATCGAAGAATTGTTCGACCTGAGTTAAAGAATTTCTCGTGATGGATTAAAAAATCGGTGCATGGAACGTTGAACTACCGATTACAAATTTATAACATTATTCCACACGTTATTATCCCGAATGGGCATTACCCCGAATCCCTTGCGAAAAACTATTGATTATAGATTTTTCTTATATATAAAAAGAAAGGAATATTCCCTTCTTTATCGTTTATCCAAAGAATTAATTATTTCCTTTTGTTATATTTTCAAAGAAGGGAATATTCCCTTCTTTATCATATGTTTAACGAATTAATGATGTTCTCTTTTATATATTCAAAGGGAATATTCCCTTTTTTATCGTATATCTAAAGAATTAATTATTTCCTTTTCTTATATTTTCAAAGAAGGGAAAACCCTTTGATCCATTAAGGTTCAATTTACTTTGATGCTTTTTGGAAAATTTCAAACGCAGTTTTTTTTCCGACGCATTGTTTCAAATTGCAAAAAGCTCGCACTATTCGATTATTTTTGATATTTTACACAAAATGAAGCGAGCTTTTTGCAATCTAAAATAATGCGTCGAAAAAAACAGCTTTTGAATTTAAAAAAAAAGCATCAAAGTAAATTGAGCCTTAAGAAGTTATTCTCTTCTTTTTATATACACGAAAGAAGATTCCAGGAGTGACTATAATAAACAAAAATAGTCAATCTAATACATGGCATACTTTTCTGGGGAATGGTGCGTTCTGGGGGATGAGATTCTGGGGAATGGTTTTCTGGGGAATGTTACAGAATCGATTTGGAGTTTTAGTCAAAACTCTGTATGCAAATCATTCACATCTAGTTCTATTTTGATTGGATTGATGTATCATTATAACGCTGATTTTTAAATTATATTCATACATTTGATTTGATTCTGTCAAAATATGTATTGAATGACGATCTTCTTAAAATCATCTGATTATAAGCATGGGGCTTGGGTGAGTCAAAAATAATTCAGTAGGCGGCGGGTGTTTTGGTTCAGTGTAACGCATTGATATTAGATTTTAGGGTCTGACACATATGGCATAATGGATACTTGGCATAACGGAAATTTGGTATAATTGCTTTTATACGACATATTTTTAGAACCAACACGCAGAAAAATTGATTTTTGTTCCAGGGCCTAATGTATTTTATTACCCTGCGCTTCGGTCAGAGAGCGTATAGGGCGTCGTTGTGCCAATTTGGTCGTGGCACATTTCGAGTATGAGAGAGTAATTGCAGTTAGATCAAAAGTGCCTGAGAAAAATGCAAGTACTTTCGCAGATTACCCGAAGTTGCGATAGTGAAGGTATGATCACAGAAAAGCAGACATAACACTCTTAAAACGTTCATCAAAATCGTTTTTAACGGTCAATTTAAATGTTTCTTAGTTGGTAGTACTGCCATTTGTGGTGCACATGATCAATTCCCTAGCGTTTGACGTTTACACACTACAACCAACAATCAATACGAAACTAACGATTTTAAATTGGCTCACTACTTGACTAGCCTATTGGTCCCAAGCAAACGATTAACGTATCCCATTCTAGTCGAAATTCTAGTACTACGCAATGTTTGTTTTGATTCTCTATGAAAGTTTGACAGATAAAATGAGGGGTTATTGGTTTTTCCTATGTTTCGAGGGGTGAATCGATTAGCTTGGGACCGAAGAGAGTACCAGAGCTAAGCCAAAAAGTTGAGCACGTTATTTCGGGACCTTCTAGTCTTAGAGTTACCTCTATGCTACAACCATCTGTTGAGTGTATTGCCCATCAAAGTATATACGTCAGGGGTTTACAATTATAAATTTTCAATGTGTTGTGTCTGCTTGTCTGTGAAATAACATTGAGGTAACGTTAGGATAAATTCAAAACATTGAGAAATATTACGCATCACTTTCAGAAATACTTCACTACGCAACCGATGAACCATTCTGACGGCCATATTAGTACCCAAGTAACCATATAGTCGCAATATAGCTTGTATATTCTTACTTTGCTTGAGTATGGTTAGTTGGGGAATCTGATGAAGCTGTCACTTCTTGAAACTGATCCTTTCGTATTTCTTTCATTGTCCTTTCGCAAACGGAGCGCTCGATGGACCAGTGACTTTGGACGTGAGCCTCGTCCCAGATCACCATGGCAATTCAATAACATATGGTGGACATCAAACCGACCAAAAAAGGCGGAATCATATTAGAACCAACCAACCAAGGACGGTCTACGGAAGGAAATTGCCGGTGAAGCACGGAATGAAATACGAAGCGTTAGAGAAAAAGTCCAAGGGATTCCAAAAGAAGCAAATAACGACGGCGGAAGAGCAAAATATGGTGAGAGCTTTCCATTTATTAAAAAAAAAAAAAATATCAAAATTACACTAAATACATGCCAGGGTTGAAAAGAATATTTTCGAACCTGGAAGTGTGTATGTAAAGGGCGAACACGAAATTATTGCGACACATTCAACAGGGCATAACTTTTTTACCATTGGGTAAAAATCAACCAAATTTTGCACACTTTCTCATTGATGCGTATTGTGTACATGCTGTCAAACTAGAAGTCGTGTTTTTCGATTCAACGAAAATGGAGGTGGACCAACGCGAGTTGAGAGAACAAATTCTTTCCAAACACCTGGAATTTCCTGACCTGTCGCACCGGCAGTTGGGAAAAATGTTGAACATTCAGTCTCCAGAGTGTTGAAGCGGTTCCAGGAGCGGTTGACGTTGGACCACGGCAAAGGAGCTGGAAGAAAACCGGGACCGGAGAACAAAAAGACGGAGGGAAAGGTGAAGCGGATGATTAAAGCAAATCCCAACAAATCCCCAAAGCCGTGATTTGGCTAAAAAGATCGGCATGTCGCAGAGCTACGTCCAGAATGCAAAGAAGAGAGCTGGACTACATACATACAAGATACAGAACTTCCCAAACCGCGATGAGCGGCAACAATCGACGGCTAAAACTCGGGCACGGAAGCTCTACGAGAAGATGCTGACAAAATATGGCTGCTGTGTGATGGACGACGAAACGTATATAAAAGTCGAATTTAAGCAAATTCCGTGGTTGGAGTTTTTCACCGGCAAGAGCAAGTTCGATGTGGACGACAAATTTAAGAAGAAGAAAATGTCGAAGTTCGCCTCCAAATATCTAATTTGGCAGGCCATTTGCTCTTGCGGACTGAGGAGTGAGCCTTTGGTGACAAAGGGCACAGTAAATGGCGAGATCTACAAATCTGAGTGCCTCGAAAAGCGCCTTTTGCCGCTCTTGCAGCAGCACGACGAAGCTCCGCTATTTTGGCCAGATTTGGCATCATGCCACTATTCTAAAAGTGTCCTGGAGTGGTATGAGGCCAATTCTGTCCATTTTGTTCCAAAGGACATGAATCCGCCAAACTGTCCGGAGCTGGGCCCGGTGGAGCAGTACTGGGCAATAATGAAGCGGGAACTTCGGAAGAGCAAGAAGACAGTCAAAGACGAGAAGGACATGTTAAGAAAATGGAAAAAAAAAACTGAGTAACTGGTACCGGATGACACTGTAAAGACTTTGATGGAGGGCATCAAGCGAAAATGCGTTCAATTTTACACTCAAGGCTCCATCGATTAACTTTTCTTTTGATTTTTGAAGTAAATATATGTATAAAACTACCCTAAAATTTTGGTTTGATTCTAAACATTATAAGAAAATTGGCATGACATTTTCGGTGTCGCAATAAATTCGTGTTCGCCCTTTATCACCAATATCCATTTGATAACGGTGATGCATACATGCGGGGTTTATTGTGAGTGAAAGTAACCTCGGAATGGGCGTGACTCTCCAGACATTCTGAAATGGGTTGCTGGATCTGCAATAGAGCTATCACCTTCTAACTCCCGGACTAAAGCTGTCTACAATGACCATAAATGCGACATTGTAGAGAGAGTTCTTCCATAATAACACTGCCGGCCAGTGGGGGTTAGAGGGAATACACAACACACACACACAGGGCCTAATGTATTTTATTATTGATTCAAAAATATTGTATCGCTATTTCAACAAAACATATTTATGAATGGTTTTTAAAATCAACAAACAGATTATTGACTCTACAACCGGTTTGTTGAGTCAAAAATATTTTACTTTGAATCAACCGAATAGTATATTTGATATTTGAAAAATGGACTTTTTTTCCTAAGACCACAACTTTTGAAAAAAATAATTTGAAAAAAAAATCGGAATACGTATTTCTAACCCAAATTTTATTACTAATCAGGATTTTTGTTCGATTTATGTTCCAGGATCACATGGAAAGGAGTATTTTCTCTCGCCGTTTACCAGCTTCCGCGCGAGGACGCCCGCGCGACCTGATGCACCGGCCACGGGGAGACGCCAATCGAGTTCAAAAAAATACAAATTGTAGTTCGAAGGATGACTAATAAATGGGTTATAACATATTTGCCCTCCCTGAGTGTTTTATTGCTTATTATTTATTACCCCCTTAAGTTTAAGTTTCATGTCGGTTTGTCGGTGGTTCCGCTTCCGCTGTCATTGTGCTTGAGCCTTAAGGACAAGGTTGATAGAATCCACAAATGGCCTTTGTCATGGCTGATTTATCGTGTAAAATCAGCCATGATGGTGGCCATTTGTTGATTCCATCAATCTTGTCCTTAAGTGTTAACGTTTCAACTACATAGGGGTAAGAGGGGCATAGTGAATAGGTGGGGCATAGTGAGCATCCCGTGCACCAGCTTGGACTTCCGCCCGTTCGGAACAAATTGGTTGGTGGTAGGATCAATGATGATATTGAACCTACTACCAGTTGATTTGTTTCATGCAGCTAGAGATCCAGGGCTAAACTGCGGGATGCTCACTATGCCCCACCTGTTCACTATGCACCTCCTCCCCCTAGTTGACGTATTAATAAAAAAATGCTAACAATGTTTAAACATGCTTGTCTTGGATAAAATGGAAAACAGAATTTGTTAGATCCGGTTAACTGCCGTTATACGCATAAGAGTCCCACGGTGCATAAGGATTGCATAGAACATGGGACAGTTATGCGTACAACGGCAGTAAAGATCACTTCAAAATTACGTGCAAATCCATTCCAATTATAGTGGAAACCACGGAACATAACGGTATTTTCCAGTAAATATCATTTCTAAATCACGTAAAAATTACATGATAACAGCTTCCAACTTAAGTGGAAATCACGTTATATTTACGTTACTGTTCAAGTTGACCGCTAAATAGGAATATTTTTGGCTACATGGTATTAACGTAAATGTTACGTGAAAAGTAGTAGGGACGAAAGCTACCTATGTTTTCACGTAGATCGGACGTGCATATTTTTTGGAATGTAACGCATCGTAACAAATGTATTATTAATTTGTGCACGGTGAAGTCATTGATATTATAAATGTTTTCTGATCGATAGAACGGAAACTCTACTATCTGTTCTAAAGAATGAAACAAATGTGAAACTTAAGATAGGGTCAATTAGAGGACCACTATGCCCAAAAACCAGTACACCAGTAAAATGTTGCTAGAAACAGCTAATCCCGCCAATTGGCTCTTATGGATGGGACAAGATAGTTTTGGTATTATTTTTTTTATTTTTGGTTGTTTTCTCAAGAAAGTAGGAAACTTTTCGTGTACTATGTAAAGTGTTGGTACTTGACAACCAATTCCAATGTATAACTCAGTATACTGTCCATAAAAGCATAACCGTTCCATATGATTTGTCAGAAATTATTAATTCATTAGAATCGACTGTAAACTACCGGCATTTTACATTGTGCAATAAAAGTTACATGTTTGGTTTAGAAATCATTGTGAAAAATACCAAAACTAGGTAGCCCTATCCATAAGAGCGTGTGTAGAAATAAATTTTCAATAGTGTTTTTTCGACTTGCTGTTTTTCCAGATGGGACAGATATGCTTTTATGGGCAGTATAGGCACTCAATTGTCTTGCATGCATTATTATACTAACCTACCTGTTTTAGACAACGGTTTGGATGAAATGCATTCATCAAAATCGACGTTCGATTCCGAAGTAGTGTCTTCAGGTGATCGCAAATGCTTTCTTCTGATGGATTTTTGATTTGGTTTTCCTTTCTCGATTCCCGTTGTTACATCATGTTTCACGCTGTGGTCACTATCAATTGATATGGCACGCATTTTCAACAGCTTTGAGGATTCAGAATCGACATTGTCAGGATTGCCACTCAGTTTAAATGTCGCTGGCGTTGAGCAGTTCAAAGGCTCCAACACTTCCACCGTCATTGTTTCGTCGTTTTCAATCTCGGGAAATATGTCTCGGGCACTAGTTTCCTTTGGACGAGTTGCTTCTAAATCTAGTGAATATAGCTGATCGTTTGATCGTATGAAATCGTCTGGAACCAAAATGTTATTTGTTCTCTGCTTCAAAAAATTCAGTAGTTTTTCGTTGATGGCATAAACCTGACCATCTTCTGGCAAGTACAACAAGTCCGCTTCCTCATCATAACTGGAATTGAGTTTTGCTTTCTGTCTGACAGGAGACGAAATGATTGGCCCGGAACTGATCCTGTTACCATCGCAGACAAACTCTAGCTCAATACCCTGATCATCTTCACTGGCATTTCCATTTTCAGTTATCAGCCTTTTTGCCAGAACCATTGCTTGCTCTCGCTTTTTCTTTTCATCTCGTTCGATTTGTCTGCGCACTTTCATGAGCTTCCGAGCTTCGTTGAAGTTCGATGCAATCTTTGGTTTTTTCACCTTGTTCTTTGCAACATCCAGTCCCTGCTGGATTTTGTCAAGAGTAGTTTCATCCCCGCACAGTCGTTTTTCGCCAATCAATAATTCCAAATCCATGTTATCTCCGTTGGTTAGCATCTGGTCTACAACTACTGGTTGGGTAGCTAAAGTCACTAAATCATCCGGATTTGCCTGGTGAAAATTGTGAGGAACCGTTGTCAATATGTCATCGTCCATGCTTGATGTTTCTTCTTCCAGTGTATGTTGTTCATTGGCTTTAATGACCTTAGCCAGCTCAGTCGGTTCTAGCACAATAACGCCCTCCTCTAGTTGATCGATTGACTCACTAGTGGACAATGCTTCATCTCTTTTATCTTCCATTTCTGAGCAAGGTAGCGGGACTTCATCATGACACATTTCTCCGTTCTTTCCCAATTTGGAAGGTTTTTCGAAAGAAAATGCAAAAACGTCCATACTGGTGACTGTTTTACGATCAGCTTCTTTAGGAGATTTATGGTTATGCTTTTTAGTTTTTTTCGACACTTTGGAGATTTCTCTAGATTTTGCTTTGTCGGGGGATTTGGCTAAAGCTTTTGTTATTTTCTCCATCTTTTTTGGATCGTCATGCAGTTGTTCCTCATCAAATCCTTCAAAGCTGGAATCCAACGAATCATTCAATTTATCTTGATTATCTTGTGTGCCTCCTCCAGCACGTTTGTCAGAACCTTGTGAATCTTTCACAGAATCATTTACTGATTCTCCAGACCGGACCGTAGAGCCTCCAGTAGGCTTTGCAGTTTTACCGTTCTCAGCTCCATCATTAGAATCTCTGTCGGTGGAGCGTCGCCGTTTCGAAGATTTTTCGTGTGCACTGTAATGGTCATCATCATCCTTTCTCTTTTCATGACTCCTTCGGGAACTTCCATTGTTTGAGTTGCTATTTCCATTTTCGTGTTTGCGATCTCGATGGTCCGATTTACGGCTACTGCTACTGCTGCTATACTTTGAAGAACCGTGTGATCTTCTATCATCCCTCGAAGACGACGAACGCTGACGGTGCGATGAGGAATACTTACGTTCGCACTCACGTTCACGACCACGATGTCGATCTTTTTTCGATTCCTTATCAGTGTTGTGTTGCTGAACAGCAGCCAAACTGACGACTTCCACCTGTGATGCGTCCATTTTATCAACATCCGGAGCCGACTCGGTGCTATGTTCATCGTTTAGAGGCGTTTTCGCAGAATCACAGTTTTCCAACTGATCACTGGCGTTCAGAACTCTTTGTTCCAGTGTAGAATCTTCACAAATTCTTAATGATCGCTCCGAGTGCGACGAATTTTCCTCATATCTAGCTGGTGCTACCGGGGACGTCGTGTATTGACGGTGTTCATCCGAATCATTTAGTGTCATTTCTTTAGCAGTACCTATGCCGTAAAACAAAAGATATGTGTTAACTATATATTTAATCCATTATTCTTCTGAACCTTACCTTCTTCGACACCAGAATGTTGCCTTTCAGGGGACCTCTCTTTGACATACCCTTCCATCTCTACAGCAACATACCTGGTGCGTTCAGTTCCCTTAAAATCGTATGCTTCTTGTCTCAAATCGAAGTTAGATTTTTGCGGTCCTAATTCACAACTCACACCGGCATCGTCATCAATACTATCCACCAGTTCACCCTCTTCTTCGTTTGAATTCTCATGGAAGTTCGGCATTTGAGCCTCTTCCGTAATGTCCAGTCGAGGATCTGTCAGAATGTCTGATTGTTGTTCTTGTTGTTGTTGCTGCTGTTGTTGGGCAACACCCTCCGAACTTGTAATTATAGACAGACGACTGTTGCTAGACACCTGCGACAGCTGGGAATCATTCTGGCCTATTTCCGGACTTGTCTTCATGGGAATACAAACTGCATCCTCTGTATGTGTCGGCTGCTCATCGACACCATTCATTTCATTTTGCTCAACAGGAATAGACCCGCTTGCACCGGTGGGCCCTTCATTTGATTCATTTTCGACCGATTCCTGCGATGTTAGGCCGCTGATGGCCGAAGCATTCGAGTCGTTGCTTTCATGCTTCGTTTGACTGGGTGGGCGCGTTTCCAGTGGTTCAAAAGCTGGCGATTCAAAGTCATCAATATGTTCTTTAGACTCGTTCAGTTCTTCATGTGCATTATGTTCCATTGTAGGATGTAAGTCCGACGAGGTGCTAGAGGATTTCTTGTCAGAATCAGGACTTACGGCTTCCAAATCTTCTGGTAAAAAGTCTGTTTGTACGTCTAATCCACCACTACCATTGACAATTGGTTTGGGTTTTTCAATACCTAAGTAGTTGTACACTATCTCTTCAACTTTCGGATGAAACACTGTCGATATCTTCGGATTTACAACTTGATCTACGATGCGCTCCACACCGGTTTCCAGAAACCCGGATCTGCAATGGATAGTAGGAAAATGATAGACTTTTAAAATAAGTATCTTAACTCTTTCTCTGCATGGGCAAGCGCATAAAATCCACAGCTAACAGCATTTAGCGCTTCCTAGAATCAAGCAGAAAAGTTTACCAACGGGTTCTATAAAAAAGCTGTCCTCTTCTCAATTGTTGCTGCAGATAAGAAGGGAAAGTTCCAGCGTAGCTCTTTGATCTTGAGTTGTGTCAAGATTGTTGATCTAAATCATATGCATCGGAATTCACATAAACATTGCCCATAAAACGCAAGAAGATGGTGATTCAATACACAGTAATCGCAACAAAAAACACTTTTTATGAATATTAAGTACGCATTTTTAAAAGAAAACGGGACTACTCATAAAATGACTAAAATTTTACACAATTATGAGTAATTGCTAGTACAAAAATGAATACAAGTTATGCATTTATGAGTAACAGATATTCATAAAAGGTGTAAACAATACACACAATTTAAGGTGTAGACCCATTTTAGCAGAATATGCATACTTTATATTAAAAATGTAGTCCTTTTTAGTCATTTTTGCGTATTTTGCGGCTTCCGTGTAATTTTTCTGAGGTATGGCAAAAAAAACTGGTACAATTACCCTATACTCTATCTTCAAACATTTTTTTATACCCAACAGGTAGCTATGCACGTAACATTTACTGTTAATTGCTTTGTTTTGAGAATCCCCTACAAAATGGCCAAGAAAAAAAAAGAATACTTACTCTATAATGTTTCTTCTGAGCTTCTCCCGTAGTTGATTCTTATGACGAATATTGTCGATCCATTTCTGCTGCGAGAGGAATTTGCTCACCGAACTTTCCACCCGCTGCCGGAGGTTCTGGTATGCCGGCTTGGTATCGACGTCTGCTAGACACTCCTTTCGGAATTGATCGAAGAGTCCTTGAGATTTTACCTCATGTACGATCGCATCGATGAAGCTGGGATCATCGGCAAGATTTTCCATTTTGATTCTCTACGATTATTTTGCGTATTACAGCTTTTGACACTCCAAAAAGAAAAACGGAAGTGATTTTCAACACTAACTTTAAAAACTTATAAAGTTGATCATTTCACAGATCAGACGCTAATAAAAAACGGGTTTTAGCATTTTTTTTTTCCACAAAATAAGAATTTTTAACAACAGTTTCTTTTTCACCGATTCAATCGAAATTGAAACCGAAACAAATAAAAGCGTATTGATCAGTTCACGAAAATTTGCCGCACTCTTCTCTCACCCGTAAGTTTTGACAGTTTTGGGTGGTTTGTTTTGGCTCCCATTCGTTGCTATCTCTTTTACTCAGAAGCAAAATGATAGGGAGCAAAAAGTGAGGTTAGGGACCGTGCACTGATCTATATGTTTTTGATTCGACTGATTGATGAGGTCCAGCTAGAATTGGGCGATCGCGAATGTTTTCGCAAGAAAATCAAGGATGATTTTTGAAAAGAACGTATACGTATACACGCTAGTTTCAGGCTCCTCATTTTTGAGTCAAAAACGCTCCAGTCCAGCCAAAAGGGAAGTTACTCAAAAATGAGTAAACATGATTATACATAAAATTTGAGTAAACGTGCCAATGGAGGAAACTGGGTAACGGTTACTCAGATGATGGCACTTATCAACTGAGTAGACCTTATCCATTTCGATAGAAACGAATTAATGCCCCATGAATGCTTTATATATAAATTATTTCGTCCAGAAAGAATACAAAACAAAACAAAAACATTGTGAAATGATAATTAAGTATTTATTGATACCAACACCAACTAGCTTTCGCCATCCAAGCAAACTAACGATTTTAGATTGGTTCACACTGGACTAGCCTATATCACATTAACGTACCAGAGCTGAGCCAAAAAGTTTAGCACGTTTTTTGGGACCTTCTGGTCTTAGAGTTACCTTTATGCTATTACGTAGCTGCTTCACTTCTGGAAACTAATTTTAGACTCACTGTGCAAAAATCGCCTGTTCACAACTTCAAAGCGCCATGTATCCAGAATCTGAGTAGATTCCACTCATCGGAGCAAAACCAGTTTACTCATTTTTTTACAACTCCATACAGCATGCAACAATGAGTGCGATCTACACGGTAAGTGTTGGATTTTTTGGGTTCGGACCTCCTCAAAGAAACGCAATGGATTGCGTTGTGCCGTGATTCTTGAAGCTAGATAATATATTTCATTAATTAGAGAAAGTAAAATAGAATTCATCCCACTTACAATTTGGTCTACCTTATATTGGCACAAATCCAACAAATTCTGCTCTGCATGTGCGCGGTTTAGTGTCGATCTAGTAGTTATTTAAATCAAATTTAATTATAGCTATTCGATAAACAATTTACGAACTTACAATCAGATTACAGCAGTGTAACCTATCCGAAAGTGCACTCAACCTTAGTGAAATCCAAGAAGAGTCAAGGACTCAAGATTATTCTAACCCTAAATTACAAATAGGTTAAGTAAATCTTTAACAATTTTAAACTTACGTATACGAATGACCAGATTTATCTAGGTCTAGATTGGTCCCTCCGTGGGTGAAAAATTATCAGTTCGAAATAAACTTAAAAATCTATACTAGAAGTATAACGAAATAACCACATTTCAATCTTCCTTCTTCGGTATGGCTGGATTGTTCCCTTTTTCCTCTACCTTTTGTTCATATTGCTGTTGCTTGACGTTTATGATCACGCTGACGTTTACTGACCGTGGACACAGGCGGACTCCGATTGGGGGCATCGCAAGAGGCCTTAAGGCCTCAACCATTAATGGGTACTTTCAAGTTAGCGTCAATGTCTTCGGTAACACGCTCTCGATGTCAATTATACAAGATCTGGCCCAACCGGCTGATTGGTATAAATGAAATGTGGAAAATGTTTAGTGGGTTCGTATTTCATCGCAATGTTTATATTTTTATACGAAACAGCTGTTTTCTGTGACGACACGTCTGCTATTCGCAGTATGGAATGCTGTGCTGCCGTGACATCGTGATTCGCTTGCGCAGCAATATTTACAACATTTTTGCTTCTAACACCAGCAAGCTGCATGTTGTTCTATACCAATGAGCTGGATTACCGAGGTGGAGCAGTCGGTTAAGTTGTGTGAGTAAAACCCCTGTATGATACATGCAATTAGTGACGTCACTACTTGCGTTTAGGTTGATTTTTTGGATTACTAATCAACCATATTTCACGATCTGCTTCATCTCTCTCTGTACCTCATTGGTTCTATACAAGTTCTATTCTACACACAAAAAATTATCGTTAGTAAAATTGAAAAATCCATTGGTAGAATTAAAAGTTTCCGTTGGTTCTTTTTGGTAGAAAGTCTTTAGCTTTCAAAACAAAAGTCAGCTAACTGTTAATTCGAAAGTAACTCGTTTTTTACTTTTAAAAGTAGAAACTTTCAAATCGAATTGTAGAACTGTCAATATGAAAACCTATTTTTTTTAAATAGACTTATGAAAGGATTTAATTTAAAAGATGGGCAGTTTTATCGCAATGATTTATGTTTTCATTTCAAATATGAATTCTTTTTAATTCAGTTGCTTTTTACTTTGAAAGAAATAAAGCATAGAAATATTTAATTTGATATATTTTAGTTTATTTATATGATGCTGACTGAAAGGGCACGGCATTATGGAACTTCAAAGCATGGGAAGCGTATTACGCAAATATACAGTTGGCTGAACAGCTGGTGATGGTGATGGTGGGAGTAGCCTTCCTTTCCGGCAATTCTGACGAGGCTGCTGAAAATCAAAACACATCAATTAGGAAAATCGGACCCAAGCAAACTCTTCGAAAATTTCATCATCTTACCTCCAAATCCCGCAGCTGGAGGATCCTTCCAATCCTTCCACTTCATAGCGTCACCACGAATGTCTCCATCTTATTATTTGTATCTTACAGAAGAGAAACAAGCGCACCGGTGGATGAAAATGTGGAAAAGTTCAAGAAACTGCTGCTGCTCATGCTAATTCTCACAGCTGTTTTTGTTTTGTTTGTTTGTTTCGCATGTCCAATTTGGCGGGAAACACAGGTCCAGTACTGTCAAACACATCGCAAGGAAGAGATTTTTTGACAATTTTACAACTTTTATTCTAAAAAATAGACTTTTAAAATTACAAGCCGAAAGTGAAAGAAACACTTTTAAATCAAAAAAAATATTTTACATTTGAAAAATTTCATAGTTGAAACTACGAAATTTGGGAAACTTTTAATTTGATCATGCATTATTCTTAAAGCAACAATTTTTGTTTTTTGTGTGATTGACATCGCAATGCAACCAGAAGTGAAAATCTCAACACGGTAACCGCAAAATACCCAATAATAACTACAAAGTAAGCATTTTCGAGGGAGACTGCACTCAGAAAAAAATTTAAACTAACTAGTATAAAAGTCACACTAAAACGCTATTCGCCTGGTTGACCCCAGGCTTCAATTAGTTGCCAACAAAACGAGCCTAGTATAAACTTGAAATATAAGGAGCATAGTATATCTTTTGAATATACATGCGTAGTTTAATGCTGGTTTATCCCAGAAACGATTTCCACGCCCCCAGATTTGTTTTCGATCTGCCAGAAGGATAAATATGGTAATAACACCGACAGATTGAAAATGTAACTTAGTTAAGAGGGCCATTTCTTTGCAAAGGTGGGAAGGGCATTTTTGTACTAGTCACATTTTCAATATGTCGATGTTATTAACTACTGATTAACCAATTAAACAATTATATTTTTTGCATTTATTTTGGTGCAAAACATAACTAAACTTGTTACATTTTATTCTTTCTTTCTCCTGTTCTCCATCTATTTTATGTCGAATCCTAGACAATCCTAGAATATTGTACAATGAAGTGTTGATTATGAAGTAATTAGTTTTTTTTTATGTTTCAACTAAATGGTCTACTAGTGAATCTATCAATAAACAGTGAAATTACTACTAATTTTTAACAAATTTTTTTCTTAGTTGCTATGACTTTATCATATTTGAAATAACTTTTGCTTAAGAAATGTCGCGGGAAGATGATTAAGCCTGTGGAAGTGTTTTAACAGCTTTAGATAGATGTGCGCAAAGATCATTGACTCGCGTTACACGACTGTACTTAAGAATCTTGTAAACAAAAACATCAAAAAAATCAAGCGTTTTCTTCGCTCTACTGGGCACTTTTACATTTAGTACTTTGTAAATCTTCAATAGTAAATCTAACGCTTGGAAAAAGTCTGGTCCGCATGCGATTGTGCTCCTATCTAAAATAACATAGTACATTCCTTCCGCAAAGGCAAGCGTATCACAATAAATGAACGGTGCACTTGAGGTATCGATTTCATCATTAGGTGCTTCCTGCTTCCATCTCACGAACACTGAAGCAAAATCTTCCAAGGGCGGCAGGTTCGTAGGATCTGCTTTTCTGACGTTACCCTGGTGTGTAAGCTCTGCCATAATTTTTAGTAGCGCCTGTATTCCAACTGAAAATAACATAAACTGAAATGAATTAAATAATTATTTTCAATCACAATGAACGCACCACAAGCAATTTCGTCGTAAAAATGGTTCAGCATGAGGCACAAAGGTACGATGGTTGAAAATGGTTGGGTGGCATCTTTATCCGGATACATCAGTTCGAAGTCGCAATGAACCTGAAGAAAAATTGCAGTAATTAAAACAAAACATTTTGAATAATGGCATCATGCAATCAATCTTACATTTCAGGAGTAACCCTTGAAAACGGCACAACAGATTTCGTTAGCAACAGCCCTTTCCACACGAATCAAAGTACGCCCACGCAAAACGATGCCATTATCGGAAAGGGAAGAATTACCCCAACCGGACGATGTTGATGGTTTGTGTTGGCGTGCTTCGGTTCTCGTGTAAAGGGCCTTACAATTTGTGTTTACAAAGTTTTTATGCCGTTTTCAAATGTTACGCCTGATTTGTTTCTATAATTCACGATGCACCTTTCAAAAGGCCCTATAGCTTGATCGATTCTCTTCACTGACTTTCTCTTTTGGTAACCACTCGTACGCAAACAGAATCCATGCTATTTTTGCAACACAGCAGAATGATAGCAGAAGCTATTATCTTCAGCTTAGAACTTTGAACATAACAGGGAATGCTTATTAAGTTGAGTTATTATGGAAAGAGAAAGTCTATGAAGAGAATCGATCAATGCAGATAGGACATTCTAAAATGTTTATT